AATAAAACGAAGTAGTTTTAGTAAAACAACGCAAGTTTTAGATCAGCCAATGACAGAACGGTGGGGAAGCTTACTTTTACGTCGAGTGCAACTTCAGTTTAGGTTAAACTTTGGATGGTTTTAGGAGCTAAAACAACGGGCAAAATATGTGAAAAGCACAATAGTACTTCCTTTGATTCGCTCGCTAATGATGAATTATCCGCATACGCTTTGGTGATTGGTCGAAAGATAATTTATCCGGATTCGTGATACAGCATCACAATTCAAACACTGGCATGTCGGCGCCAGCGCGGCCTGGAGGCAACGAGCAAGTGCCGTTCTTGCAAGAAGATTTCCACGCGTTCCCCTTCCAAAGCCAGCGCATGCTCGTTGAGCTCCAGACAAATACGTTCCGAGACACGTCCGCGGTCGAATTCTGGGCGAAACTATCCCATGACGCAACCGAGAATGCAACGCACTTGCCGCACGCATTGGCGTACGCCGTGGAAACCATTCGGCAATTGGAGGAGATCACACAGTGTGTTCCAAGGATTCAACAGCATCCTCCTTCTCGCTCCCTTTTGTCACTGCTCAAGGCTCATTTCAGGGCCATTCTCTTCCACGACGCTCGGCAAACGCAGGTAGAGTGTTCAGCATCGGTTCCGTGAAGGCGGCGACGTCGTCATGCATCGTGACTAGGTGTTTTGCGACGCGCTGGAAGCTCTATGTACATCCATCTTCGTCGAGTGTACCACCACGGATCCCGACGCAGCGACCGCAAAACAAGAAGCCGCGGTCACGTTGCGGCGCCACTTGCACTATTTAGAATGGATGCACATTGCGAAACCGTGCATCCTGGCTGTGTTTCTGCGACAAGTACTACTACTACTACTCGTTTCGTGCAAACCAACCAGCAGCACACAACGCTTGCTCGCTTGTAGATTGACCACCGCGTCGCCACGGTATGCCGAGCCAACTTTGTCGATTCCTTCTTCGACGACATTGAAGCATGGGTCGATTCGACTTTGCTCCAAGATGCACACACCATGTTCGCCACGAACTTGCATGGACACGACTCGAGCCAACACAACGTCGAGTACGTCATCACGTTGAAACAGCACGCGGTTCGGGCATTTGGAACGCTCCGCGGCCGCGAGTTGTTTGACATTGTGCGCGACTTTCCAGACAGGTACCAACAATCGAAATCGCCAGCCTCCTCCTCTTGTATGGCCCCCAACCTCACACACACGTGCTACTTTCGTTGTCGTTGTATGTGACACAGTCTACCTGCGATCCAAGATCTAACAAAGTGTTTACAAGTGACCCACCAACAGGCCGAGATCGTGTCGACGTTTCAACGAGCCATTCAAAGCCGAGTGCTGCAGCCAGGTGCGAGTACCACGAGCATCCTCGGCGTGTACACGCGTACGATCAAGGTAATAACGTAATGTACGCATAGCTTTACTCAGCCTTGGCATTGATGTAGAGAAGTGTATACAGTATATATATACTAGTCTTGCTGATAAGTTTGCAAGGATTTGAAACCGATACTGGATATATATATTTATGTATGTATGTAGTATACTAGTACGTCAATATTGGAATATAATGTATGTATACATATTTAGATATCCATGTACTACTACATACTAGTACACGTCAACACGGAAATATAATATACTAGTACTAGTAGTATACGTCAACGTTGGAATACAATGTACATAAAGACAATATATACATGGTGTATATATACATAGAGAGAATGGTGTGAAAGTAGTATTTGGACCTGAAGTCGTGTGTGCATATATATATATATATATATATATATATATATACGGGGTAGGAATATCTATATATATCTCCATGTGGTAGGATGGGGATATACTAGTAATGGGATATATATTTCAGCGGGTTTGCGATGGACGGTAGACATTTCGGCACTTGGATCCTCGAGGTGTGCTCGTGCAGAGCATCCGCGACCTGTTTAGCCACGTACGTCATCTAAGTTATGACAATTTAATGATTAACGATATATATATATATATATAGTACCTGCGTAAGCGAAAAGACACGATTCGGTGCATCGTTACGAGCTTGACCGACCAAGAAAGCGGTGAATTGTACGAAGAGTTGTCCCGCGACCGGCGCGTAGAGCCAGTGATCGACAGCGATGACGACGACGACGAGATCGTGTGTGATGTGACGCTTACTTCCATACTAATCCCATGCCAATTTCTGTAGGAAGCGACGGACGAGTGGCAGCCCCAGCCGTTGGACGTCGCGCCCACAGGACGCCACGTGGACGACCTCTTGAGCAGTTTGGTGGGTATCTACGGGAACCCGAGTGCGTTTGTGAACGAGTATCGCATGATGCTGGCCGAGCGGTTGCTTATGTCCACTGACTTTAACACGGACCGAGATGTAATCCTATATATATCATGTTTCAGGAACAAACAAGTGATATATATATATATATATATATTCATTAGGTGCATACACTGGAGTTGCTCAAGCTTCGATTTGGCGACGTGCGGCTGCAACCGTGCGATATTATGCTCAAAGACATGGAAGAAAGCAAACGAGTTCACGCTAACTTGGGCTTGGCCGTCGATGCCACGGTCGTGTCCGAGCATTTTTGGCCGCCGTTTCAGGTATATATATATATATATTGTCCATTTACCCAACATTTGGACTTTTGTGCTAATTCGCCAAATCTATCGATCGATTCTTTGTACTGACTTTTGTATGTAAAGATTGTCCAGTGTCACACTAATTTCAGTCACACACGAATTCGATGCTGAATTCGTCGAAAGGTGGATTTGATTGGCTACTATTTTCATGATCTGGGTTTTGATTGGTCGATCAATTGTCTGCCGATTTGGTGATTGTGCTCATTCGATTGAAAATCCCACTCCAATTTCGAATCGACTTGACAATAATGTATACAATTTATGACGGATGCGTTTGTGAATTTTCTCTTTTTCGTTGAGATCGATCAAGTCGACCTCAAAACCCTTCCAACCTGGACTTTACAACCTAATAGTTATAATGTCCTTTGAAATCATACTTATTTATAACATTTAAATTCCTCTGCATTTTATTTTTATTGTCCGAGATATATTCATTTAGCCATGGTGTTCGTTTCCTAACACTAAAATCTACTGTACTTCGCAATATTTGACCAACATTTCATTTTTTATATTTTTATATATTTTTTATATTTCTTTGTTTTTCTTCAATAGGAGGATGACGATTCATGGGTGCACTACATCTAGGGTGACGAGTTTACGCTGCACCCTCGGCTCGAAGCTATGGTGCAGACGTACAAAGACGCGTATGCGGTACTGAAAAATCCGCGGCAATTGGACTGGGTGTCGTACTTGGGGGTGGTCGAGGTAGGAACGGATAAATGTCAATTGTTATTAATTTTAAATATCATCGCTTGCATGTCATGTCAATTCGACTGGTTCACAAAAATAATATATCTATCGTTAGCTGGAAATCATCGACTTGAACGGGCACACCATTGAGTTTACCGTGTCTCCGATGCAAGCCACGGTGCTGTCGTACTTTGAAGATCAAGGTAGGGGCAAATAATCAATATATTCGAATACACCTACCCGCCTGATTGCTAATGCTGCGGTTGTTGTTATTGTCCTTTTACCCAAAATTTGGACTTTTGTTATGAATCGACAAATCCATCGATCGATATGTTCTTTGTGAGTTGTTCTGTGGTGATTGGTATCACACTAATTGAAGTCAAATACTAATTTAACGTTGATGGTGGTTTCCTGCAATCTGATTGGCTAAATCCTTCTGCCGATTCTTCAGTACATTTGGTTGTGTCGATTCATTCTCCAGAATGAACACAACAATATATAGACTCGTGGTTCGTGGCTGCTCTGGCCAAAGCCATGGATGTGGAGGTGGAGGTAGTGACCAAGCAGAGCCAGTTCTGGTGCCACCAAGGCGTGCTGCGGTATACACAGAATGACCACGACCAGCTCGTCCTCAACACAGCATACACTCGACCGGCGTTGACGGCCGACAAAGATTCGTCAAATGAGCACTTGCTCGAAGCAACGTCGGTGTCGTCGAAACGGCAAGCAGAGGCTGAAATCAAGGTGAAACACAAGATAGATTGCGAATGTGTATTGTGGTGGGGTGCACTGGTTGAACAGTTTGATGTGTGTAGACGTTGGAATTGTACATCAAGGGCATGCTACGGCAATTTGAAACGCTGTCGTCGCCACAGATTGCCGCGAAATTGGCGCTGATTGCACGGAGCGAGCAGATGCATTCGGGTACGTGTGTATATGAGTTATGTACATATCAACGATATATTGGAATAGGCGTGAGTTCGATGGCGAGTTTGACGCCAATCTTGCGCAACTTGGTGGACCAACGAGTGCTCGAGTACATTGGTGGCATGTATCAGCTGCACAAGAATCATTAATAGTACAATACACACACATCCGTTTTCGTTTAAAGTTATCAAGGGCCACGGTGGTCCCTACTGCGATAGTAAACCCTTTGATTTGGAGCACCCTTGGGACTATTACTACACCTGCACGAAGCTACACCCTTCCTTGATCCGGCGGGTCATCTTTAGTTGATTGTGAGTCCATACAGTAGTCTGTCAGGTGGACGATGGGGGACTTGCTATAAAAGGTCATTCTGTGTATGCAAAGCTGCGCATGTACACACCGAGTATCTGTATCACATATGACAGCATACAACTTGGAAACGGCGGTTTTGGTTAGAGAAGGACGTAGATACAATAATACTCTTGACAAGGTCTCGCTTGTCTCACATGTCGACTGACATGAGGCCAGGACCACTGACGAATGACTACTAACGTTACTCGAGGACGGTTGGACCATCCATTTCCGAGCCTCTTGCGAGACTCTTGCATGCAAGTGCCATTTTGGTTGTAGCGGTCGTTGACTGCTGAGGAAGAAAGCGACTTTTGGCGCCCAGAACTCCGACGACTCGGTCCAAGGCAACTCTGGCCTGTTGGCGGCGCACAACAACGAATGCGCGGCCAAGTTGCGTATTTTCGCCTCGCTTATCGGTTCCTGGAGTCGTCCGACTTTTATGAAGGTGTTCTAGCCGTGATCTCAGTAGACGCTGACACTAACCCAACACAGTATATTCGAAACCACGTCACAGACGAGTTGAAACTTGAGACACAATCCGCTCACAACATCACACAACAGCAATAATGGCCGATCATCACTAAGGTTCGGGAACTAGCGAGGAGACTTTGATTGGAGGTTAGTCTTGCTGCAGCGCGAGGAGCACGACCTTGCGTTTTCGAGCACTTGGTCGTAGTCGTCTACGCTCGCTGTCGCAGTTCATGTATTGGACCCAGACTCGAGACGTCGGGGGTGCGTCATTCCACGAAGACCCAACAACCTTCCTCGACTTGTCATGTAAGGGCGAGTTGGTGTGGAATCTCATTTGACACTGCTATTGACTTTACTATGAGTAATCTCGCAAACCATCAGACCAAACTTACCATTAACAGGAAACACACACACCTTTGTACTCTCGCCTACATACTGTGGAGGACTTCATACTGTAGTTCATCCCCCTCGGATCATCATCACAATTTCATTGATGAACTCATGTCCATCATAATGTGAGGGATCCTTTCAGAGCACTGCAGTCTTTCCAGTGAGGACCTCTTGCTTCGAGGAACAGGCTTACATGCTTCAGTCACCGTCATATTCCAACCCCCGCCACAGTTCCTAGAAGGCCTCGACCACAATTGCAAACAGCATCCGTAAACACGAGGACAATGTTTTCATTACACACACATGTTTTTGCAGTCTCTCCTAAGTGGGAGACGAGATCGAATGACTCAGACCAAGGTGCATTCAGTGGGGTTTTGGCGGCACCATTCGGGGTGGATGGGGGCGATGTTGACTCCCTCGGCGACGAGGCGGTCGCGATGGGTGCGGTAGCGGGACATGGCGTCCTTCCACGTGGTCGTGGGGTTGGACCACAAACGCTCGGCCAGCGCCGACGCACGGGGCCAGATCTTAAAGTCCGCCGACACGGTGTCGGCCATCTCAGCCCAGAGGGCCACCTGCGCCCCGAGCACGAGCTTCTTGTTGGCCGCCGTGACGTTGGGGGCGACGTCCGTGTCGTAGATCACTTGCCACGTCTTGTACGGGTTGCACCAGCCGTTGTTGTTGGCCACCCAGCCGCCAAAGCCGCAGTCCAAATAGTGCGCGTCCCAGAACGTCGACACGACTTCGTACCCGGCGTCCTTGAGGCGCTTCGTGTCGCCGCTGGCATAGTCACTCCAGATCTGCACGATCGTGTTGTTGACAGGCAGGTACTTGTAGTGTCGGGGGTGGTCAAGTCGGAGCTCCACAGCATGACCTTCTTCTGCGCCTTCTCGATCACCTTGGCGCTGCGCACTTGAAACTCGCCCCACAAGTGGAAGAAGCTCTTGGGGTCGTGGCGGTCCTTCACGAACGGGTACACGGCCACCGATTGGTTCCAGCAGCCCACGTGCACTTCGTCCCCCCCATGTGGAACACGTCCGAGTCGAACAAGCTCAACCATTCGTTATGCACACTCTCGAGCACCTTGTACACGTTGTCGTTGAGCGGGTTGAGCTGGCCGTAAGGGGGCTGCACGCATGACTCAAACCACGGTTTGGCGCCGTAGCACAAAGTCAGCTCTCCCAAGCCGGCGGCAGGACCCCACTCCCAGCCAGAGCCGGCATGAGCAGGCGCGTCCAGCTCGGGCACCACGCGCACGCCGTACGTCTTGGCGTACTTGACGACGCCGCGGATGTCGTCCTGGGTGTAGACCTTGCTGGCGCTGTACGAGCCGTACGCGGTGAGGTTGGGGTATGTCTTGGACTCGACCGGGAACGCGTTCGAGTCGGAGATGTGCCAGTGGAACGTGTTGAGCTTGTTAAGGGCCATGGTGCGGATGATGCGCTTGACGGCTTCTACCGAGTAAAAGTTTCGCGCCGTGTCCACGGTGATGCCGCGGTTCTTGTACGCAGGGCTGTCCTTGATGGTCACCTTGGACACGAGCCGGACCGTGTTGGAGAACTCGTCGAACTCGACCAGTTGCGACAGTGTCGTCAGCGCGTGGCGGTACCCGAACAACGTGGCGGCGTTGATCGTGACCTTGATGCCGTCCACGCTCAAGTCATACGACTCGTCCGTGTTCAGGTCGAGCACTTCGCTGGTGCTCTTAATGTCCTTGCCGTTGCCCTCCTTGGCCTTGAACTTGAGCGCGTCCGAGAACGCCGACTTGAACGACGACACCAGCGGAGTCACGTCATAGGCGGGCTTGCCTTCGAACACAAGGCGGTGGTTAGCGCTCCATGTGCTGATGGCGACGGTGTCCTGGCCGATGGACACGGACGTGGGCTGCGGCCATAGGCTGCCCTGGCCACACGTCAGTTCGCACACGTTGAGGCTCGTGGTGCCCGCCACGTTGTCGGACGTGAGCGGTTGCAACACGCAGTTGTTCTTGACACACGAGTAGCGATGTTGACGCACTTCGATGGCGGCAGTCGCGGTGGCGAGGGGGGCGATCAAAAACGTAGCTTTCATAGTGAGAACGCAAATTGAATAATGACGCTGGAGGGGGGCGTGGTATAAGGTGTGGGTGTGTAAGCCAAATATCGTTGGGCCGTGGCTTGTTGACCAAGCGACACGTTGAAGTTGGAAGAACAAGAACAGGAGGAGGCGGAGAAGGTTGTTTGGAGTAACTCTTTCTACAATTGAGAAAGGGCAAAAGCATACAATATAGAGCTGTCTTGTAGGTTGTAGGTTTGGCTTTATTGGCCATACTGTAGTAGCGACAGTAAGTTGGCCGATGACAACGTTCGCCATCGAGTCTTGCTTGCACTTTCCACTTTGTGCAGGAGATACCTTAACAGTTATGCCCCCATCCTCCACGCATTTAACCTCGAAATCCTCACGGACCGCAAGTTGGTGTCAACGTGGGGTTGGTACGATTTGAATCGCAAGTTGGAGCGAGCTATGAATGAACTTTACGAGGGGTGACAACGTATATAGTAGTAACCTGGTGGTATCATATTTTGGTGATGTCAAAATGGTTGTGAATGATGTTGGAGAAAAGATACCTTTCCCAGTAAACAACGACCACTTTTAGGAAGGCCCATGTTCGAACATGTTCCAGTCGTTCGTTCCTGACTAATCGTGACCGCAAGTAACATTTGGGACGATTCTGTCCGAGCCTGGAGTATTCGTCGGGAAATACCGCTAGTCCAGTTATATGCCCGACAGGAGGAAACTACTAACGTTACTAGGAAGAATTTGTATTGTTGTCTTGCTTGTGGAGGAGTAACAGAGTACTAGTACTAGTACCATGAATGACCAAGGACGGCCAGTGAATTCAAATCCACATTTCTGAGAACTTCACATTAAGGTGGGAATAATTAGTTCACAGGATTCCTTCGACAGAGTTTCCAACGTTCAGCACGGATTTAACTGCGATAAATGCTCGTTTTAGGCGACGAAAGACGCCGAGAATATGACTTCCACTGCATCCATAGGATAACATAACCCCATGAAATGGATCCTCTTGATGCCTTGGTACCTTCACTACAGTTTACCGGTATCCGGTACTTAGTTTCAAGTGAGCAAGTGCATCCATCAAGAGTATGCAACTGGTGGATGATTTAGTCAAAAGTGACATTGAAACCCAGTACTTTTCGGTTGAAGTTTTAGGATTAGATGAAACTTTGGGCGATCCTAGTTACTGGAAAGTGGTAATACTCCCAACTCTGTCACCACCGGGTATATGAGGGGGGGGGCTATAGTTTATTAATAGTACCGAGACTGACGTATCGGTACTTCGATACTACGGCAAGCAATGTTGATTAAGGCAGGGAACATATACAGTATTCTATTGACAAAAGGGGATTAACCAGATTGATAGTACTTCGCAGGATCCTACAGGTAATCCACTAGGTACCGGTATGCTTACTGTACTTTAGGAATACTCCGAGACACGGAATCGAGCTGTTGGATGACAGCTCGATTCCGTGTCTATGTAATCGCCTCTGTAACGAATGTGGAGTCGATGCCAGGGAACTTCGTTGCTATTACAAGTCTTCGACAAGCGCAGCCATAAACTCAATCATGTACTGTTCGTTAACAGTCCTATTAATAGTAAATGCAAGATAAGCATATAATTTCATTAACTGTAAAAGCTGGACTTCAATGGAATAGAAAAACCTATACTACACCTTTTTTCTATTGACTTGGGACTTTTTTCAACGTTCTTGGCTTGGCGCTCATTCAAAAGAGCGATGTGTCCATTCATTTGGCCTTGTGGCCAATAGAATTGACACATCGTGCCGCAACACCCTTTGAAATGTACCATGCTACCAATGGAAATGGCTCCACTACCCAACAATATGCCAAGTACCATTTCGAATCTGCCGTGCTTGAAGTTGAATTGGATCGAATATGAAAAATTATTTTCAAATTCGCGACGGCATTAAAAAAGCACATAAATTTAAAATCATCGAAACTTCCAGCAAACAGCTACATGCCGACTTCCATGTCTTCCATTCCGTCCGCACGACCGTAGAAGTACTCCAGACGAAGAGCAAAGTGACTCAGTCGGTTTGGTTCAATGCCTAAAGCATGAGTTAGAGTATGATAACTAAGCAGCATTGCCTCGAATCACTTCGTCGGCAGTATGTTCGAGATACTGCATCCGAAACTCCTCGCGAGTAGATCAATCGGGGGCCCATGAATGCCGCAAGCCGCTCACGCAAAAGTGTTTTGACATGCACCTTGAACTGAGACCACAGATTCTCAATTGGATTCATCATTGGTGAATAAGGCGCCAAACGCAGCAACGTGGCCGGACGAAATTCATCCTCCGCAAAGACATTTTCGAGCCTATTTCACATATAAGAATTTTGAAACAAATATCTGTACCTCGAATGACACGGCGCATTGTCGGCAATGACGACAATGTCTTGAAGTCCACCATAGTGGTTCATTGCAGAACCCAACATGCCACGAATCCACTGATTCGCATCTGCGTGCTTGTACGCTCCACGTTTATGCGTGCAGTAGAAAAAGTTCGTCGTGGAGATGGCACCAATGACGTGCAAGTTCTTCCCTTTTTGAGTCCCGCCGCGGATGGAAACGGCACGTCGTCCACGCAACGACCGGGCCTTAGTGCGATTCGTAAACAAGTTGAAGTTCGTTTCGTCGATCCAGATAGGTATTTTGCCTTGACCCAAGAGGTCGCGCAGTTGCTGGACATATTCGCGTCGCTTTTCCTTGAACGTTGGATCGTTCATTTGCAGTGGTTCGTAGTGAACCGATTTGAACGTGTAGACACGCTTGTCAAGTTCTCGATGGAGTGTGGACTTGGACACTTCGATCTCCAACTCCAACATCAATCGATCCTTGATCTCTTCAAGGGTGATTTGTGAGTCAAACTCAACCCAACGCACAAGCATGTCGACTTGGTCTGGGGACAACAGTTTCGGTTTGTTCCCGCCTAAAACGAATCAGTATATTGTGAGGAGATGGAGCTGCACCTCGCTTTTTGGGTGTGAAGGAGTCGAGGTGCAACCAGTTTCGAGCTGTGCGTATATTGACACCGTTCGCCACTGCAACCGCCTTCCAGTCCTTTGAAGTGTCGAAAACATGAACGATGCGACGCTTCGCAGACAAGGGGATGCACTTGTATTTCTTGCGTGGCTATGAGCATGGTTAGTATATTGTTAGCGACGACGTCGTACTGGTGTCTGTGGTGCAGCGTTCTCCATTGTTGCACGGAATGCGATTTTGAAAAGTGAAAAAAGGGCGCGAAGATCGCCCAACAGCAACCTTCTAGAATATTCGATCCAATTCAACTTCAAGCACGGCAGATTCGAAATATTGCTTGGCACATTGTTAGGTAGTGGAGCCTTTTCCATTGGTAGCATGGTACATTTCAAAGGGTGTTGCGGCACGATGTGTCAATTCTATTGGCCACAAGGCCAAATGAATGGACACATCGCTCTTTTGAATGAGCGCCAAGCCAAGAACGTTGAAAAAAGTCCCAAGTCAATAGAAAAAAGGTGTACTTGAGTACTATTAATAGTACTTGAAGTAGTATTTCGAAGTAAAAAAAATGAAGAGGATTGTTCAGAGAGTTGGACAACCTGTATGCGTCCACAACATCAATCGTTACACACCGAAGAGATTAGTCAGTGTCAGCCACTAAAGAACGAATCACCAATGTTTAGAACATCTTAGAACAGCACAAGCACATAATCTAATCTGCATCGATACCGGTAGTGCATCCCCCTTAGTCGCAATGTGTGCTTAATGTCGCCTACCGCTCCCCCACCACCATGGTGTGATTGACACTAATATGGGCAGATTGTGATTGATGGCAATCAAACATGCTGTGTCAAACCAACGCTCAGACCATTGCAAACACGTACACACACAATTCGAAACCCTAGCAAACGAATTCACATTCCGTCCAGCATCGAACAAGTCCATCATCGGCCAACTCAACGCCAAAACGACAGCAAAATAATCCACACTTTCACAACACACCTTCAACCGAACGACACAATGCTTCCAAGCTTAGAAACTTGGTAGGTGCAAAACGACTTGTCAAACTTCCTAAGTTGTCGCACCAACTTCAACGTGTCGCTTGGTCAACAAGCCACGGCCCAACGATATTTGGCTTACACACCCACACCTTATACCACGCCCCCCTCCAGCGTCATTATTCAATTTGCGTTCTCACTATGAAAGCTACGTTTTTGATCGCCCCCCTCGCCACCGCGACTGCCGCCATCGAAGTGCGTCAACATCGCTACTCGTGTGTC